GGATGCTTCCAGGCTTGGCAGCGGCGCTGGGATCGTTGTGTTCACTCCCAGGGGAACTACTTCGAGGGTGATGGATGAATTTAATACCTGAGATAAGTGTACGGGTTTTTATAGGCGCAGTTTGGAAACTTTCCGATCGCATCTCGTATGCACTCCCTTAGTACACTGTAGTTTATGACTAAACTTAATAAGACTTTGTGTAAACTGATCAACATCTTCCTGGCTGCATTCAAACTGCAAGCTCTCCCAGTGAGGGAGGGTTTGCAGAATTGCACTGAACTGGTGTGACCCTCCAAATGGTTGGTTAATATTTCTGTTATGGGCACTGTCAAATTATTATTGCAATAATTTTATAGGATTATGGTAGAACGTGAGTCATGAAACCAGGAACTGGCCCATTATCACAGACTACAACTATTGTTAATACAAAACTAGGACATTGGTACACTGCTGATGATCACATCACATACTGGGCCAGTGGAACAAGAGTATACGAGCAAACACAAAACATATATTATGATAAGAATTAATAAATGGCCACCCCATAATAATAAATGTTTAATGCTCCATGTAAAGCTGGTCCCAAGTTTTCTTTTAGCATTGATAAAGGAAAAACATCAGAACCACATTTAACACGGCAACAACAGATTTTATAAAATCCACAGACCATTCTATATTTTAAATTATTGATTTTAATTGTGTATCGTTTTTGTTTTAACTAGAGCAACGTAACATTGCTTGATGACGTCACTGTTTGGCGACGGCGAACAATCACGAATTTTATATTAAGATACTGCAATGTTCTGCATTACTGTTATTATCGTGAAAGGAAGCACCTGCCTGTCTGAAAATGCGTCCGATAGAAACCTGATCCTACAGCCAACAAATAATGCGGAGCAACAGACAATATTAATCTAGTGTCTGAGTGAACCAAAGATCTCCGAGATGAGAGTGTCCCAGTGTCATTTTGCCCACCATAAATCCTACAGACTGCCTTGGGTTTCAACATCGGCTCCCACATTGAGAACTCGGCAACTAACCATGAGCTGTGGACTTTGTCGAAGGTCAGTTGATGAATACAGCCTGCCATGATGGAGTTATACTTTAGGGGAACAAATTCAAGGTTGTAAATATGACCTAAGTGTATCTTTAATCTTAATCTGTAAATGTAACGTAATATATGTATGATCTTGAGCTATCACGATGACTGTGTACAATATATGTCACATCACATAATTTTGTTCACTGAAGTACGTGTCGTATATTATTGTGACAGACAACACATAATCCATTCCACAATAATATTTTTTGGGAGAACCTAAAACTGGTTAAATATAGTTGACACCTGTCGCCATTTGTCTACTAAGTAGCTTGTTATTTTCTTGTCAATTTTTCAAACATAAGTAATAAACAAAAAGCACCAATCCTTAACTTTATAATTTGCAATGCATCTATCAGATACAAGCTTAAAAAGCAATGGAGGTTGTTATCACTGTGGTTGGGCGCTGCTTGTGGATTTCATCCAGAGGAGGTGAAACAAATGAGAAACTGCAATACATATTACAGAAGTCACATGCAAGCAGGCAAATTAATATGTACCGATATGCCCTTACTGCAGTGTTTATAAGACAAGACAAATGTTGTCTCTGAAAATATGATGAAAAATTGTATCTTCACTGTAAAACAAAGACCAAGCTCACGGAAATTAAAAAACTCTCTGTGTTGTGTCCGACTCTGAATGTTCAATACAGCCTATCTCAGCGTCCATCATCAGACCTCACTCAACTCGGCGTAATCCACATTATCAACATAAATTTATTAACGTATAATTTCAGGTCCTCACAGTGATGAATATGAAGATGTGTTTCTTGTGGACTGTCATGCAATCATGTGGTGGACGTTTACCCATATTTCAGAGGTGCTTGCTGCCTGCATCATAATCTCCCTGATAATGGAGGTACCATGCACCTCTGAAACGTCTGTAATCGTCTACCATATGACGACATTACAACCCACAGGACAGCCACCTTCTTAAAAGGTACATTTAAAAATTTTCAACAGTTTAAGTGGCCCGTCCCCTGCAGAATGAAAGGATGTCCAGACCTCAAATAGCTGGAAATATATTGGAAGGCAGGTGGGGTGCTAGAAGCGCCTCACTGGAAAAGTTCTAGTACGTTACAAAATGTCACACGTGGCTAATGTCTGGACTAGCTGAGTAAATACTCAGCTTCAAGAAGAGACTGTACTTCAGGAAGTTAACAACCCATTATGTTACTGATATCAGTCTGCAGTTCACAGTCATGACCATTATTTTACTAATACCTGCCATTTATATGCATTAAGCAAGTTAAAGAATAAGGCAGTGTGAATTCTGAATCATACCAGAGTTACAGTGCACAAATATCAGCGAAGGCCTAATGGTTCAGCACCTTTTCTAAAAGTAATAGAACATCAAAAATTAAACCTTATTCCCATGCAACACAAACTAAAATTTTGCAAATTTTTGTACTGACCTTGAAAGTGAGGCTGAGTGCCTAGTAACTGAGGGTGAGCATCCACGCCAGACTGGTCTTCATCATCATCATCGACAATGTTGTCATCGAGAAGCAGGAAATATGGCAGAAATATCGCCTTTGCCCTGATGTCAACCCACGTGGTGTCCTGTAGTACAAATCACAAGTGAGCCATGCCTCATGGCTCGAAGTGGCCTATCTCCCCTCTCAACGTTCTTTGGAGTCGCTCGCTTCGAGGCCCTGATGGGACAGCAGGGTAGACAGTCTGCGTGTGTCCGCTGGGCAGCGAACGAGTCGAAGAGGGATAACTTGGAGACAGATAGTTCTTAATTTTTTGGTTTGACGTAGCTAGTCGTAAGCCCGACCGGAGCCTGAGCCTTGGAAGTTTGTTCTCTTTTCAATTTATATATATATTTTTCTAAATACATGTTGGTAATTTGGGAGTGCTTTTATTTGTATTTGGGTTAACCCTTGTGATAATCCTACGCCATACCACCTCCAGGCCTCTGGGATAAATTGGATTCCGTTAACGAGAGCCGGAATGGCTGACAAACTTTAATGGTATGGAACAGCGTGCTTATTGCAGACTGAAGCCTGGCAAAGCAGACACAAGTGCACCTCAGTTTAAAAGACCCTTCAATTATCAAGCAAGCATGTACAAGGATCATGAAATGAAGTCTTCTGTGTAAATACAAACTGTGCTCTTTGTAAGTGTTTTGCAATGTCGCATTTACTGGGACGGAAGTTTCAAGTTGTCTGCTCATGTATTGTGAGGTTTCTTCTGAAATTCTGACCTCCCAGCAAGTTTTGCAGTGTCTTCCTAAGCCTGTTAATATATTTTATTATGTAACTACTGCGAATGCTTCCAGAATTATTGCACATGAGATGTTTCATTAGGAGGAGCCATTCCCAGAGGGGCACAGGGCCTGGGTAAAGATCGACATCTGTAAGTTTTACTTTACTTAAACTGTACATGTATTCCTGTCTCTATCCTATGATTACAATTAAACTAATATGCTCTGTGTTTATTTTCTATCTATAGGGCGCTTAATTTGTCACTCAGCATGAAATATATCATGCTTCATAATGTCAAAATGTGGGGTTCTGAACACTCACCCCACCTTACGGATAGCCCGCTGCTGGAAACGTAAACCACATTTTTATTTACTGATGTTCAAATAAATTATATCTAGAAATATTAAAACTGGACACTGGGTTTTATTATTAATACAGTAAGGTCCCAATTATCTGACCTTCGGTTATCCAACATTCCATTTTATCAAAGTGCCACCTCAGAATGTTTCATTTTACGAGCTGCCAACTGAGTACGTAGCAGAATGAATCACACTTCCTGACCAAGCCCCTTCTACATTTTGTGAAATCAGTTTCTTCAGAGTGCCTTCATAATTGGCTTCTGGATTGACATTTTTAATTATCTGATCATCCTTACATCCTGCTTAGATTTGATAATGAGAACTCTAATGTATTAGATCCATGAACAAGGAAATTCACTACGAGATTTGGCACTCATGGTAGGAAGTGTTCGAGCACAATCACATCTGTTTTCAGAATTACACTGCAAAAGAAGATTTAATTCATTTCTCACCCATTAGAAAGATACATCTCAAATTTTATTCCAAAGAATGTTTCTCATTTTTGAAACTTTTATGATAAATGGCTATTTTAATTTAGGTTTCCAGATTAGCAAATATTGTTCTCCTACAATAAAATCTTAGTTCTTTCGCTTTGGGAATCATTTCCTTCCCTGTCCCTCACATTATTCCCTTATAAACACAATTACTTATTTCCTGTTGGCCATCAGGTAGTTTTCTGCCTGGATTTTGTAAATGCACCTACTTCAGTGGCATTAAAACAGATAATATATATTAACTGAGTCTTTGTTAGGGACAAACTAATTTGTTTAGAACTTGTTTAAAAAACTTGCTGTTCAAAGGGAACATGGATATCCAATCTGTTTCCAGATGCCAAGACTAACTCAAATATCATCTGCTGGTTGATTTCTCCTTCTGCTTCAAAAGGCGTAGCTCTTGACAGCATCTCGTGCGTCAAAACCGCACAGCTCCACCAATCAGTTGCCTGCAAGAATTCAAATTAGGACAACAGCTGAAATGAGTCATTTTTATTTTTTGCATCCAATTTTAAGTGGGACATTTCTAAGAACAAACAGTAGCTTTCTTTGTAAATCAATATGACATAGTAATTGTAGCCAGACATAAACCATGCTGAGTTTTCTATGGTTTTCCTTTTAAATCTTATTTGTAACTTAAAAGTCACTTTCTTAACTTTACTTTTCAATTACTATTACAAAATCATTCTGTATTTACATTTGACATTTATGCCCTCAGCAAATGAGTCCGCATTATATATATAATAGATGTGATTGTGCAAATATAATGAAAATCCGATCCCAGGTTCTTCAATGTGGTCGGACAGACAGCAAACTAACACAAAGAAAAGAGCTAACACGGGTATTTTTTAGAATTTGAGTTGTTGACGTGCTATGATTGATGACTCTGGTATGTACTTATTTCATTGCTGCAAGCTTAATCACATTTCTTATCAAACGAAGTTGTTGCAAATTTTGTGTACTTTAATACAAGAGGAGAATATCACACTATATTTAACATTTAAATTTCAGTTTGTGTCTTAGATATTAATATCTTCCTCTATGTTTTGAAGAATAATGGAGCCAACATAAACAATTACAGCTAATTTTTCTTGCAACAGGAGACAAAGAATTAGGAAGTGTTACTGAGTACTTCAGAGTATCTCCAGTGCTTGTGTTTCAAATTCCACTTTCTTACAAATATGCATTAGCTATTCCATCAGATACCAGGCAGACGACTGCACCAGATCCAGAAACCACTGGTGGTTTAGTTAAATTAAACTGTGTCATTATTTCTACATCCTTATAGAATGGAATAATTACCATTCTGTGCCCTGTCCCCTCATTGCTTTAGGGGCCAAGTACTGTAGTGGACTGCAGCAGGACTACATTAGTTTACCCTGCTGACAAAACAACATTTTACATAAGTTACAGGACAGGACTTAAAAAACAGATGCTACTCACTAGCTGTGGTACTAGAAGCAGAACACTGAGGATTGCTAGCACTCAAGATTGTCAACGGAAGCAGCACAGAGCCAGTTCAGTCCATCACCTACCCTCACAACCTCTTTCTCTAACATCCAGCTTAATGTGTATTCCTGTTAATTGGGGTGTATCACATCACCTAAAACGAAAATTTAATTTTCTTGCTTTATGAACATTGTTTACAATAGATTAACGCTGAATCTTACAGAGAAATTCATCATGAAGACAACATATAGAGAATTTTGTAATAATTTATGCTCTACGTTTGATTATTTGACAAAGTTTTGCAAAAACACGTTTGGCGGACCAAAGCAGGTATGCGGCAGGTATGTGGTAGTTAGGGTAGTTATGCTGTATGCATTGTGTGGTGTTGTCCCAGTTCAAAAACCATCGATTCCAAGTACAAACAGCCTGAGTTGTGTGCCATGTGTTCGTTACTGCGTGTACTGTACTGCCTACATTGCATTACTGTATATGGTGTATATGAACTTTTGTAGAATTACCACAGATTGATTTGATCCATGTCTTATATCCTTCAGAGAATTAGCATGTAAATGTGTTTTGCACTGATAGTACTCACGTAAGTTGCAACCTGTAGTCAAACTCCCTTGCACTCTTCCTCGTTTGTCACCCTGCTTCCTTCCAGGGACAAACTTACCAGTCTCAGACTATAATTCTGCCATGTGCTGGGGTAATACCACCATATACAAATCCCACTATAAAGCGACACACGTCGGCCACATCAACGAAGTAACAGTAACAGCTGATACGGGCTTATGACCGGGTCACTTGTCATATTCAGATATTGTTAATTGTTGTTTTCAGTCTTTAATTTTTCATCTAGTGGAAAGTTTTTGTTGAGTGAACAGCTTAATTTCTCAGGATGGTTGTTTTTGTATTACAGATTAACCATTAACCCACTTGTATCCTGTAATTAAAACTTTGAAACATCTCCCAACATGCTAATTATAAAAGTAAATCGTTATCTGACACAGCCATAATTTCTCTTTCTATAAATCAAGTCTTCTTAATATCTTCTGTGAGAGACGAAAATCGATTGCAGTGCAAACACAAACAGCCAAGGCACACGCATTTTGTGTGCGACTGGGACAAAAGTTCCATAAGAAATATTAACTTCATGAAGTTGCAGAGAATTCTTGGATTAATTAATCATTTTGTGCCTGTCCTCAGTTAAACCCTACTGAAATGTACCCTTCAGAGGCTACAGGACCCAGTAGTACAGTATATTAAAATTTTATTATAAAAATTGAGCATCTGAGTTTATACAACCTTTTTTCAAGTAAAAATTGATTTCAAAAGATCACAGCTTCAACAAAAATGAATATCACTTAAAAATTTTGATAAATGCCTTATTTAAGTTCTGCCATTTTCAAGAAATATTTCTTTACATACATTTTTGCAGTTAAGCATAAAATATTTGCCGATAACTTATATTCTTTCCAAATTAAATGCAATGAATTGCTGAACGTAATTAATGTTACGTGCCCATAATTTTAGTACTGCATGTCCAGTGAGGTGTTTTTTACAGCTTCTTGTATCTCCCTTTCTTCCTGATAGTCATCTTGACTGTCAGAAACAAATTTCAGTATTCCAAATTTCTTCAACTGGCTTCCCCACAGTTTGGTCTGTGGAATTTTCAGTAGTGCTTGGACAATAGTTTCTTTCAGGAGTCCTAAATAAACACCATTACATTCTATTAGATGCATCACTTATCAGTATTGAGACACGGAGCAGAAAAAAATATGTAATTTAATGTAACATATCTTGTCTTGTTAATTTTATTTTATAAAGAACTTGAATTTTCAGTGCTTGAGGGTGTTTTTAAAGAAAGTGCTGATGAAAATTGACACTAGAGAGATTATGTAACAATGACTGGAGATCTTCATAATTTTTATTCATGTTTTACTGTCATTAGGGTAATTAAAACAAGGATGCAATGAGCTAAACAAAAAGAACATGAGGAAAAATGGGAAATACATAATTATAGTTATAAATTGTCAAACACCAGTTGCAAGATGTAGGTTTGATGGGAGAATAATATTAAAGTGGATGTTGGAGAAACAGGATTTAACTGGCTCAGGATTGGATCCAGTGGTGGGTGGTCTTTTGTGGACAGTGATGAAATAACTTCCATAGCAGTAAAGGATTTACAGACTCTACGCTCACTGCCTTCTTATGAAAATGATAATAAACGACTTACATTAACGATTATTCTTCTATAAATAAGATGTTAGACATCTAACAACAGTTATAATATAGTCTACACATTTATTATCTTCTCCTTTTGTACAATTGTGTAATAATTTTTATAGGACCCCCCCCCCCCCTCCCTGAAGCACAGATGTTTAAACGCCAACAACTTCAACATTTTAAGAATATTAATTGCATAGGGTAATTTTCTTTAAATTTAGATGTTGGTAATTCTGGTCGTAATTAGTATGGTGGTGTACCACAGTTTGGAAAGCAGTGTTGTATGAGAAAATTAATTGTAAGTTGAATAGAATAGAATTGATTTACATTCCATTGGAACCATCACCATTGTTACATGTATTTATACATTTTTCTGTTGGTTAGAAGGAATGAGACAGGAGATACTGGCTTAAACATTTTTATATTGTGATTAAGGGGTTTCGTATTTGAGTTCTTTATACTGTGTTGTTAAATTGTTCAAGTGTTTGTAAACATATAATGAAAATGTATTGTGTTTCAGAAAAAAGATTGTAAGTTATGTAATTAATATATAAATGTGTTACAGATGTAGCTTATATTTGTGCTATGACATGTTCTACATCTGTGGCTTAGCTGTATGAATGATCTGTAGCTTGTAATTAAATTCTGTTTAGCCGTTCACTTGAATATCTATGAAGGGAGGTTGCCTTTGTAGTTTAATATTTGTGTTATGTCATTTACAGGTATTTTATTTTGAGAGCATTTTATTCTGATTTTAGAAAAGTATGCCGAATATTGCATTGGGACTAGATGGAATTTGCCTATAGCCTTAACCAAAGCATCAGTTGTTGGCAAATTTGTAACAGATGTTACACTTGGTCCAAACAGCAAATGTGCTGTTTATGATCTTTTGAAGAACAGAAGTGAAGAAATATGTGAGCTGAGTGAAAATTTTCCCTCCCTTTCTACAAACAATTTGTATGCTTCAGATGTTGCAATAAATTGTAATATGAATTCATGTATTGACAATGTGGAATGTGCTGGAGGAGCGGATTATTCATCACTGTCAACTATGAAGCAGTTATATGATCTGGACCAGCAGCGGCGAAGGAGAGTGAAAGATTCCATAAATGAGCATTTTTGGAACATGGTGAAGGATTCTCAAATTCGCCTAATGGAGTTGCACAGTAAACATCAGTACCTCCAGCATGAGATCCAGGCAAAGGTGCTTCGAGATGAGCAGCTGATTTTATGCCAACTGCAGGAAGATAAGATTCTTGCAAATGAGAGGCAACAGCAGTTGGCACAACAACACAAAAAGCATACTCAAGTAAGGCAGACTTTGTGCACAAGATTTTATTTGAACATATACGTAATTATGCAGTATCAGGTTACCTCTTTCTTTTTAGGAGTGGGTTCCAGGTATGACCTGTATTCCTTCTCTTTGACAGGCTACATCATATTGGTTTATTCTGTATATATATGATTTATTTACTGCGATTGGGTTTGCACCCAGTGGCAGTTTTTTAATCTTGTAATTTAGCCGGTTTTGTCATTTGTACACAGACTGTATATTATTACAGCAGAAAGAAATATGATAAATATGCCAACTTTGAGTAATAAAATACTTAAGACACTTATTACCAAGATTATTGCTACAACCTAATATTCTGCAATAGATGGTAATTTTCCAATTATATATTTATTTGGTTTCCCTCACAGTAGAACATTGGTAAGTTCTGATCACACGTTCAAGCATACACAGTATTTTCATGCTTTTATGTGGTCCCAGAAAAATGCTAGGGTACTACAACTGCTTCTTTCCACAAACTTTCCAATTCATCTTTCTCGATCGTTTTCTCACACACTGTTATATATTCACTGGCGTTGAGAAATAATTTTTAACATAAAAATGCATTGATCCATAATTAAGACGTGAGTTGTTACTACAGTTATATTTGTAAATATTTTCTTTTATAGCGTATAAATGAATTGAATGAAAAGATTAAGGAGGCAGAAAGACAGAAAGAAGCAGAGGAGGAAGAAAGAAAAATAATAAAGGAAAGAAAGATCCAAATTGACAAAGTGCATCACTATTATATCGAGTATCGGACAAAATGCGAACAGATTGTTGAAGCATCAAGGTATGTTGTTAGTGGTCAGGTATAATAAGTTCTTTTATCTGTTGTAAATTAGTGTTATTCATGTTCTCCCTATCTTCCATCTCTTTGCTGACACCCATTTGCTTGATCCTATCCTATGCAAGTGTTATGACACAGTACTCTTCAATTAACATTGCTAGGGTGATTACATCAAGGAGAATGAGTAGCCTACAGAAGGAGGCCTCTTGAGTGACGTAGTTGCAGATGGGGGGGATAATATTAAAATGTGTTTTAGAAAAATATGATGTGATAGGGTTAACTGGATTCAGCTGCTCAGAATAGAGTCCCTTGGTGGGCTTACATGAACATAGTGTTAATCTGTGGGATTTTGTGAGAGCAGAATATTTCTTGGCCATTTCAGTAACTGTTCACTTCCTGAGAAAAATGTTTTACCATTCACTTAATTATTGAAAATCTGTTGTCTGAAATCACAGTCCTTGGTTTGGGCTGTAGTTTATATGTGACTTGCGCAGCAGTTGCCTTTTCGTCTGAATATGTGTCTTCTCAGTTTCACATATGCTAAACCAGAGGAAAATCCTGCTTTGACAAGATGTTGAAGGATGACTGTTTCTGGGATGTTGTGCTGTGTAGATTGGTTTATATAATGTTGCTTTATTTCAGGCAGTGTAAAGACAAGCAAGCTTTTGCAGCAGAGTTTTCTGATTATGCTTCCAAACTGAAGAGCCTGAATGTAGCCATGGATCAGTTGGTCGGACAGTGCAAGGTGAGAATCTATAATATTTATTGCTTTTCCAGCTATGCGTTGTGTAATAAGTTGTCTTTATTATACTACTACTAGTAATCCCTATTTGAGTAATCCCTATTTGAGTCTTTGGTGAACTGACTGGGCTAGTAGAGTTCAGTTCTGGGCTGCTGCTGTGTTAGGTGCTTGAAACTGACTTCCAGGTAATACCAAGATCTAGAACATGTGGAGTTTTAACTCATGAGCACATGATATGGTATGTAGTTGCAGCAGTTAGTATTTTCTTTTGTATATTTTTTGATATTTACTAATTATAAATTATAATTATAAATTATAATTATAATGAAATAAGATCAATTAAATTTACAGA